CCACATAGGTCTCACAGTCTCCCCACATAGGTCTCACAGTCTCCCACATAGGTCTCACAGTCTCCCACATAGGTCTCAGTCTCCACATAGGTCTCACAGTCTCCCACATAGGTCTCACAGTCTCCCACATAGGTCTCACAGTCTCCCCACATAGGTCTCACAGTCTCCCACATAGGTCTCACAGTCTCCCACATAGGTCTCAGTCTCCCCACATAGGTCTCAGTCTCCACATAGGTCTCACAGTCTCCCACATAGGTCTCACAGTCTCCCACATAGGTCTCACAGTCATCCACATAGGTCTCACAGTGTCCCCACATAGGTCTCACAGTCTCTCACATAGGTCTCACAGTCTCCCCACATAGGTCTCACAGTCTCCCACATACGTCTCACAGTCTCCCCACATAGGTCTCTCAGTCTCTCCACATAGGTCTCGTAGTCTCTCACATAGGTCTCACAGTCTCCCCACATAGGTCTCACAGTCTCCCCACATAGGTCTCACAGTCTCTCCACATAGGTCTCGTAGTCTCTCACATAGGTCTCACAGTCTCCCACATAGGTCTCACAGTCTCCCCACATAGGTCTCACAGTCTCCCACATAGGTCTCACAGTCATCCACATAGGTCTCACAGTCTCCCCACATAGGTCTCACAGTCTCCCCACATAGGTCTCAGAGTCTCCCCCATAGGTCTCACAGTCTCCCCACATAGGTCTCGTAGTCTCTCACATAGGTCTCACAGTCTCCCCCATAGGTCTTGTAGTCTCCCCACATAGGTTTCACTGTCTTCCACATAGGTCACAGTCTCCCACATAGGTCTCACCATCTCCCACATAGGTCTCACCGTCTCCCACATAGGTCTCACAGTCTCCCCACTCACTCACTCACTCACTCACTCACTCACCCTTTAATCTCACCATCCCACCAACCCTAGTCTGTCTTATAGACCCTGATACAAATACAGCCCATGCAAGTCTATAATGTTTGGCAAGTCTAGATTTCTGCAGTATCTGAAAAATGTGAGAGTCTCTGGGCTCCTTTTTATTATTATTTTTTAAGGTAATTTGACAACTGTTTTTTTTTCTTTACGATATGTTTATTTCAGAGACTAGATGTTGGTCTACACCAACCCCAATAAAACATGACCAGTCAAAATGACTTTACTGAATACCTTGTTTTTCCAGACCCTGAAATCGCCTCCCAGTCTTCATTGTATGGCAATCCTCCAGGTTGCTACAAGCTGTGCCATCTACTGGCTGACTACAATGACGTGCATTGCCATAAGATCAACCTCGCGAGTAATAAAAACCTGACTGTTGTCAACGCCACTGTCGCCACATCATCAGCGACTGCAACAGCGCAACATCGGTGTTACAGCGTAGTTACTGTGATACAGTTTATACTATTCATGTTGACAGTGCGGACTGTTTTACAATATACGTCCTTAGGATTGACATAGGTATACGCATTCGTGTAGGCATGCTTTAAATAATTATTTATCATTATGCTGTGTTATGTGATAAATTTATTCTCACGATCTGCATGGTGGCAGATGGGAAGGAGGACGAATTCGTCTCGACATCGTGCAACCGGTCGACGGGTAGACCATCTCATGAGGAGGATCATGGGATAGTGGTGATCTGTCGCAACCTCGGGATACCAGGCTGGTCAGATTGACGATTCTTGACTCACAGGTCATGTGACCAATGGCGGAAGCGCCACCTAGTGAGCAGCTCAGTGTCCCACCAATGGAGGGTTTTGGGGTCCCGACTCCCCGGGTCCAGATTTCAGAAGGGAGTGACACTGTTTTGGGGTATGTGATTCCCTATGCAGTGCATCAGCTCTGTCGTACAGGAAGTGATACAAGGGAATGATGGGATATGTGAATCAGCCAATCATCTCTGCTTCCAGAATCGTTATAGATATAATTTCACAAGTGTTCCATCAATGTGTATATGTGTAGACAGATAATTATATGCAGAATGAAATCATGTGATCATTAGAAACGGCTGTTTTCATGGAATGCTGGGAAGTGTACCGCCCAACAATCTGGAGGCATGTGAGCAGCGACAAGCGTCGTTCACTCAGTGTAAGGAAAGGATTATCTAAGCAAGGTTCACCCTGTGGGATACATGGAAGTGAACTGCCTGGGAATTATGGAAAATCTGCGAAGCACGTACACGAAGAATGTTGAAATTTAGTATACGTAGTCGTCCAGATGGAAGTGAGACACACCAGAGTGTATGTGTGTAAGATGTGAGTGTTAGCCAGTGGTGTCATGTTATATAGAAGTCCATGGGAAATTTATGTGGACACGCAGTGTTAACACGTGTTGTTCTGAATGGTGCCGGGTTCAGCGCCATTGGACGTCATCGATTATGGCGCCACTTGTTATGTCCATGGGAGATAACTCTTCAGCTTCTGTGGAGAATGGGAGGTAACTCAGATATTAAATATGCATCCTTGCTTTATGTTGATGTGAATAAGACAATCTCAGAGAGACAACGCACTCCTGTGGATTCCTCGACATTGAACTACATTCTACTAGTATAGACGATCAATTTTAGTTTAATTTTTGTAGGTAGTTAGAAAGAAGATAGTATTTTTTATCCAACAAGTGTGATAAATCAAATAGTTTGTATTTATGTGTAGCATGACATCTGCTCAATACTGACCAGATGACCAGGCCATGGGTGCAGGAACGTCTGATGGCGAGACACTATATGTAGTCCTTAGATAGGGGATATCGAAGTGGTTAGGGGGATATCATTGTAGCTATAGAATACAGTATATATTATCATCTCATTGATTATAAGGATGTGTGATTTAGGTTCCGTAGATGACATCTGATGAGGTAATACTGTTGTACCACATGTGAATACTCCTATATCACATGTGAATACTTTTGTACCACATGTGAATACTCCTATATCACATGTGAATACTTTTGTACCACATGTGGATACCCCTGTACCACATGTGAATACTTTTGTACCATATGGGAATACATTTATACCACATGTGAATACCCCTGTACCACATGTGAATCAGTTATACCACATGTGAATACCTCTGTACCACATGTGAATACCCCTGTACCACATGTGAATCAGTTATACCACATGTGAATTCCTCTGTACCACATGTGAATACCTCTGTACCACATGTGAATCAGTTATACCACATGTGAATACCTCTGTACCACATGTGAGTATCTCTGTACCAAATGTGAATACCCCAGTACCAAATATGAATACCCCTGTACCACATGTGAATGACTATCTATTGCTATTGAACCCTTTCAAAAATATATCATTGAATGTTTAGTATAAAGATTCAAACTGAACTCATTACCATTACCGAAGCACTTTCCCTTCAATTTTTTCTACATTTCTAAATTATAATATACCTTTTCAAACGTAATTTTCAAAACTTTTCTGAGAATATGGACATTGAACACTCTTTGATCATTCAGTGTCACAGATATTTTCTGGAAATAGAAAAGCACAAGCTATTTTCAATGCTATATTCTCATATATCTAGCTTTTGTGAAAACTTTCCCTGAAACATATTTTTGCAGATCTTTAAAATCATCTTTTGACAAAATTTAACTAAAGTAATCTCTATGTACTTCTCTCGCAATCTTTCATAGTTCAAACATGCCGACAAAGCTCTATTTTGTTGATAACCACACCATAGTATTTTCATGGGTATTTTAAGATAGACAGTTTTCTGTCGCCTAATTCTCAGACAATCATGAAGGTTACTGTGTTATGGACAATGTGTCAAGTGCTGTCACTTGTCTAGATTCTCTTCGTATAGCGAGCAATTGTTCATCTGACATCAGGCTCATAAGATATAGTATTAGAAACTACTACTACGTTTTTGGCAGGAAATGTTTGAAAATGAACCTGGACAGTCCCGTTCAGAAAAAAATGTCATGTTTGAAGGCCATTTTCTTGTTGACATTTCTCCCGACTTGATCCTACCTACATTTGCATCATCAGATAATGGACATGGATAATTGGATACAATGGAGCTCTGATTGTCCATTATCTCTGCTTTCTGTGTGATTACTGTTTGAATGACGACGTGAATACAAAGGGCATTACTCCGTAATCATGACTTTTGGTTTTCTGGATGTTTTCACAGAGAACAGTTACCATCTGGATGATTTCACTGAGAACAGTTACCATCTGGATGATTTCACTTAGAACCGTACCATCTGGATGATTTCACTGAGAACAGTTACCATCTGGATGATTTCACTGAGAACAGTTACCATCTGGATGTTTTCACTGAGAACAGTTACCATCTGGATGATTTCACTTAGAACCGTACCATCTGGATGATTTCACTTAGAACAGTAACATCTCAATGATATCACTTAGAATGGTACCATCTGGATGATTTCACTTAGATCAGTACCATCTGGACTATTTTACTTAGAATGGTACCATTGGACTATTTTACTTAGAATGGAACCATCTGGACTATTTTACTTAGAATGGTACCATCTGGATGATTTCACTTAGAATTGTGGTACTCTCTGGATGATTTCACATAGAACAGTACCATCTCAATGATTTCACTTAGAACGGTACCATCTAGATGATTTCACATAGGACAGTACCATCCCAATGATTTCGCTTAGAATGGTACCATCTAGATGATTTCGCATAGGACAGTACCATCTGGATGATTTCACTTAGAATGGTACAATCTAGATGATTTCACACAGGACAGTACCATCTCAATGATTTCACTTAGAATGGTACCATCTAGATGATTTCGCATAGGACAGTACCATCTGGATGATTTCACTTAGAATGGTACCATCTAGATGATTTCACGTAGGACAGTACCATCTCAATGATTTCGCTTAGAACGGTACCATCTCAGTGATTTCACTTAGAACGATGCCATCTGGATGATTTCACTTTGAATGGTACCATCTGGATGATTTCACTTAGAATGGTACCATCTGGACTATTTTACTTAGAATGTTACCATCTGAATGATTTCACTTAGAACGGTACCATCTGGATGATTTCACTTAGAACGGTACCATCTGGATGATTTCACTTAGATCAGTACCATCTGAATGATTTCACTTAGAATGGTACCATCTGGACTATTTTACTTAGAATGGTACCATCTGGACTATTTTACTTAGAATGGTACCATCTCAATGATTTCACTTAGACGGTGATGTATCTCACCACCCCCAAACTAGGTCACATCTCAGTCCCATAAGTATTGGAAGACACTTGCTCACAAAATCATTGTTGTTTGGTCTGTGTGTGTGATCCATTGTATCGGGCTTCACACTATCATTCAACAAACATGGGGTTGTCTATCACATGATTGTATCACATGTTAGTCATGTGACACAAAGTCACATGACCTTCCTGCATCCATGGCCAATGGTTATCTGGGATGAACAAATCTGAACTGTACCCTATGTCTACAGTGCTTTCAGGTCAAGAGGTACGGACAGGGATACAAGTGTTACTAATGGGTAATAACGTTTTTACTTTTAACAGAAACAGTACGCAGTAAGAGGGACAACTTATGATGCAAAGTCATGGTCAGTGTATGTACCAGTGAACCTTCCTAATCAGCAGCGGATCCGTCACAGATGATATGGCTTTCTGGTCGAAATATTGTCACCGATGTTTGGTCATAGCTCCAGAACAATCTATGTATGATTTAACTTATACATGTATTCTTACCACATTTTTATCACTTTTTTCAGACACTGTATGGTCAGAGGTCAAAATGAAAATTTTAAAAGTTTTTTTGTTTTTTTTTAAAGAATTGTAATTTACATCAAATGAAGCAATAAAATTTATATTGCAGGACAAGTCTTTGGTTACTTCACTTCATATTTTGACCGACCTTGAAGTGTTTTGTCATTACTGAAATAAATTAAGAATTAACAGATTTGGCAAGAGCAACAAAACCAATTAAATCAATTATTTTTGTATTCCTAGAAGTTTGAGTCAGTGGATTTTTTAAATCAAGCGATCGAAGGAAATATGCCAGAGAGGAACGTTCACTGTGTACATACATTACTGTGAGCTTTGTAAATATCACATGATGACATGCCACCATTGCAGCAGCTTCTGTTTTCCTGATCAGGACAGTACTTGTGTGTCATTCAGCTGAAGCTGGTGTTGTGTGGAGGTGTGTTCAGCTGAAGCTGGTGTTGTGTGGAGGTGTGTTCAGGTGTACTGGATGTTGCAATGATGTTCCTTGGATCTGAAAGCATTGTAGGAATATCATCAAGAAATTACACTAGAATGTCATACTATATTGTCAGTCCTTGATGTAGAGTGATGTCAGACACATGTCAACACCATCCTCTAGATTGTCATCAGTCTAGAGTTCAGAAGTCAGACACCATGTCAAAACTATAGGGCTGTGACGGGTCAGACACCAAGCTGACACCTTAGGGCTGTGACGGGTCAGACACCAAGCTGACACCTTAGGACTGTGACGGGTCAGACACCATGTCGACACCTTAGGGCTGTGACGGGTCAGACACCAAGCTAACACCATAGGGCTGTGACGGGTCAGACACCAAGCTGACACTATAGGGCTGTGACGGGTCAGACACCAAGCTAACACCATAGGGCTGTGACGGGTCAGACACCAAGCTGACACCTTAGGACTGTGACGGGTCAGACACCATGTCGACACCTTAGGGCTGTGACGGGTCAGACACCAAGCTAACACCATAGGGCTGTGACGGGTCAGACACCATGTCGACACCTTAGGGCTGTGACGGGTCAGACACCAAGCTAACACCATAGGGCTGTGACGGGTCAGACACCAAGCTGACACCTTAGGACTGTGAGGGGTCAGACACTATGTCGACACCTTAGGGCTGTGACGGGTCAGACACTATGTCAACACTAAAGGGCTGTGACGGGTCAGACACCAAGCCCCGTTGAAGGGAGATAACTCTAACTGAAAGTTGTTGACAAGGACATTTAACTCTCGTTAGCAGTGTTCATGGCTTCGTTGGGACGACGAAATGGAAGAGAAATGGTCTAGCACAGTATGGTCACTCTGACACTGAGGCGCCTAAACTGAAAAACAAAATATTGTTTATAGGGCATTAGGGTTATGATGCACAGAATGTTTAACCAACTCAATATTTAAACATCTTTGTACGAAACACAAATCGAGGTCAAGTTCTCACGGTCAAGTAAGACACAATGGACACTTGGTGACTTTGGTACATTTAAATGGAAACCACAGGACCGGAAATCCAATGAGCTTTCATCCGAAAAAAATTGTGGCCGATGAATAAGGTGAAAGTAGTATAACGTCAATAATACCTGGGTACTTGAGTCCTAGTCGGGTATTCTGCCTGTCACAGCCCTACGACACCATCCTCTAGACTGTTATCAATCTAGAGTTCAGAAGTCATGTTGACACCAACCTTTAGATTGCCCTCAATGTAGAGTTCAGGGGTCAGTTCCATGTTGACACCAACATTCAGATTATCTTCTGTCTAGAGTTAAGTCAGACACTATGTCAACACTAACCTCACAGGTGTTGTCAATCTAGACTTAAGTCAGACACCATGTCGATACCAATCTCTAGGGTATCCTCAATGTTGATGTATTTCGGCCACCATGTCGACACCAAGCTCTAGGGTATCTTCAATCTAGACTTAAGTCAGTCACCATGTCGACACCAACCTCTAGGGTATCCTCAATCTAGACTTAAGTCAGACACCATGTCGACACCAACTTCTAGGGTATCTTCAATCTAGACTTAAGTCAGACACCATGTCGACACCAACCTCTAGGGTATCCTCAATCTAGACTTAAGTCAGACACCATGTCGACACCAACTTCTAGGGTATCTTCAATCTAGACTTAAGTCAGACACCATGTCGACACCAACTTCTAGGGTATCTTCAATCTAGACTTAAGTCAGACACCATGTCGACACCAACCTCTAGGGTATCCTCAATCTAGACTTAAGTCAGACACCATGTCGACACCAACTTCTAGGGTATCTTCAATCTAGACTTAAGTCAGACACCATGTCGACACCAACCTCTAGGGTGTCTTCAGTGTTGATGTAAGTCGGCATGCTGTGGACACCATCCTCTCTGAGCATTTACCAACATAGCACGGTGTCCACATAGAACTTGATCCTCTGTCTCCAAGGTGTCAACCATCGACAGAACACTCTACAGTAGTTTTTCCAACATGTTGTTTTATGTCATTATTTGGTTGATAACCAAGAAACATTATTTCTATTAAACTTGTTACGACATTGTTTTTGTTTTGTTTTATGTAAAAACAGAAAAACTACTGTAGAGGATGTACAGTCACACTTGAACAATTTCTCAGACATTGTTAGAAGATCTACTCAAAGTGTTTGAATGATATACATTGATATGTTAAAATTACTTCAGACTAGTCTCATTAAAACCAAATCATTTACCCTGGTACCATGCCTCTGTTTGAGTATCTGACAAACTTCCAAAATGATTTCGTTCTTTTCCCTTGATTCAATTTTTTTTATCTTTGCAAAAGAAAACATACACATACCAATATTCTTGCAGAAGTACACTCCTTTGAGAGTAGATGTCATGGTGCTTAGAAACAATTAGGGTGTGTTAAATATCAACAATATATATTGCACAGCCTTTATTATTTTCCATTCAGAACTGCTTATTTATGTTCATTATTCTAGATACAGAAATCAGACATGTTTTTTTAAAAATGTTTCGCTCATTTGTACCGAAGCCTCAGCGCTGATTGGCTGATTACAAAGTTCCCCTGGCGTGACCTCTGACCTCGTAGAAGGGGTCGTCAGACCAGCGCACAGTGTGATATTCCTCTGTGCTTTTGTATCGGAGTAAAATATCTGATTTTAATGAAATTGACTTTAGACCACTATTTGCTTTAGCTGTTATGTTCTTGTATGATTTCCAATTCTTCTTAAAGAATGTATTATGAAATCATAAGTATATCACTCATACTACATGAGTAGTGTAACTAGGTCAACAAATTTTGTTGCAGTCTTGATGATGAAATGGGTAGGTTTTGTATTGTTTGCAGGAAATCTAAAATGTGTGTGGATATGGAAGGTTGGTACCCAAATTTAGTTCATTTTATAAAATTATCATAATTAGTTTTTCACAGCTAAGAGACACATGCTGTTGTTTGCATCATGGTTGTCATCTAAGACACTAATAATGATGATGATGATGATGATGATGATGATGATGATGATGGCTCTATATAGATCATATAATGAATTGGCATATTGCCTGAGCAATTTGATTCTTGTTTTTCAGGCTTTTTGTATAAAAGAAGCAGTGATATGGGTACAAAGTATCAACGTTGAATTGATTTGAGGTTTATTTCTTTAGTGAAGCCACTTTTAAAAACTTATGCTAAAAAGTTTAATTAAGAATTGACTTCAATATTTTTGTATGTTTTAGTTATAAACATAAAAAATGGTGTGCACATTGTTTTTTATGTTTATGCATCCATAAATGCAAAAACAATTTAAAGTCAATTTTATGAATAAATATGTCAACAATAATAACCTTGCAGACTATTCGGTCATTAACACAATAGCTGTAGACACCAAGACAAATCAGTGACATCTTTCATCACAATAATCCAACACATTGCACGATCATTTATCAGCAAACAATCTGTTAGTGGGCGGGGCCTTGTTTCTCATTAGTTCATAGACAAAATATAAACGCAAAGAAAATATTTTTGGTTCGGCAATTAAATGCCACGGAAACACCATCTTCCCGAGGCAAGAAAAAGTCCAGTTTCCACCCTTGCCCAACTAGGCTGGAATTCCTGGGCTCGACCATAGCGCCACCAGTGGTTATGTCCCTTCTAAGCCTCTCAAATGGACCAATCAGATTCAACCTCTCGTATCACTTGCATTTGTTTAAAACAAAATGGCGGAGTCCAGTCAAGACGATCTGATCGATAATCAAGATCTTTATTCTGATAAAACGGGTCTTACATTGTGAAGTGCATCAAATCACGTGAGCACCTTGATTAAAAACACGAAAATATCTGTTGACAACGAGTTGGCGGTGCACATGCTTTGCAAATCCTGCAATCGACAGAAAACTGCATGACATTTTACGAACCAGATTTCGATTTGGGTGCACGATTTTGATTGGACTATGCATAGACTCGTTAGTCCAGCCAAAATGTAACTCCATAATACCAGCCTAGTTCGGCAAGGGTGGAAACTGGACTTTATAGTCAGTTAACTCACTTTCCTCAGGAAGATGTGGAAACACTTGCAATTTAGTTATTCTAAATCAAAAACAGTCCAAATGATTCAGGATAGGCTTGAAAGAAGACTAAGAATTGACCTGGCCTTGGTTATAAAGAATCTAAAAATAATAATATAGTGAGACTAAGACATCGCTGAATATAAACAGTACTTACATGAGTGAGATGTTGACTCCATAGAAATGAGCCATTAATAGCTGTATCACGACAACTGACATTCAAAAGTAGAGTAATTCAAAACCGAGACATGTACCAGTACAAGACGAGCCTGAAATCGGATTGAAAAAGGATGTAATTATAGCTGATAATATCCATGCTGTGTTCTGAAGAGAAATGAAAAATTATCAGAATCCTAGAAAGGCAATTCAGGTTTCATGATCCATGTTCAGGGGCTTAAATGGAATGGATAGCTTTTCCGACTTTTCAGATTGGTTGGTTGGTTGGTTGGTTTGTTGATTAACGCCGCACTCAGCAATATTCCAGCTATATGACGGCGGTCTGTAAATAATCGAGTCTGGACCAAACAATCCAGTGATTGATATGAGCATCGATCCACCCAATTGGGATCGATGACATGCATCAACCAAATCAGCGAGCCTGACCACCCGATCCCGCTAGTCGCCTTTTACGACAAGCATAGTCACCTTTTACGGCAAGCATGGGTTGCTCAAGACCTATTCTACCCCGGAATCTTTCAGATTGGTAGCTGTCATGGGCTGAGGAGAGGAACATAAGAAGGCTCATTGTAATTAACAGACACTTATCATATGCTTAACATGCAATATTTGGGCTAAGAGTTTTGTTAGAGCTAGAACATCAGGCATTTATTCAAGATACACAAATTTTTATTTGAAAAAAAGAAGCCAATTTCTTTTTTGTGGAACAAGTTTTATTACATAAAATTAAGACGAAATTATTGTTTTTGGTTATATACAGGAACAAAATATTTGCTTTAACAAAATTAGATCCTTTCTAGGAATACTTGGCTAAGACCTTCATCACTTTAGTCTTTCCTTCAACAGTACTGCAATGAGGTAGACACAATTTTATGGATAACAACTTCTTTAATACTGTAAAAAGCGATGTTTCAGTATAGATCCTTGTCTTGCTTGACAACGGTATAAGGATCTACACCGAAACATCGCTTTTTACAGTATTAAAGAAGTTGTTATCCATAAAATTGTGTCTACCTTGTCATCCGTCAACTTCTAAGTAATGCCTATCAAACAATTTATTACTGCAATATTAAACACACAAAATATATCTATATCTGTGAATCCATGGATACAAGTTTTTCATAGACCAGTATTAAAGACACATTAAGGTTTAGATTGTCTGTCCTTGAATATGGCCAATATCAAACCATCATGACATGGATGGAAAACATTTCATTCTCAGAGTCAGAATAAGTCTTATTCCTAATAACCAGTCCCTAAGCTAGATGTCAAGATTCAATCAAAACTAAAACAGGAACGTTCAGTGACTATGAAAAGTATATGGACAAGAGGATATCTTTCATAACGACCTAAAAAACAAAAGCAATTTGTTTAACATGGATTTAATAGTAATATACTAACTGAAAATTAAAGTCTTTTTTGACTGTTCAGTTTATCATTTTGCACAGCATCTGCAGCCAGACAATAATCTGTAGCAGTGGATGTGTGATGGGAGAGGAAAGGATTGCCCTGGCATAGTTCCTGTCATGGTCTAAGTAACTTATCATGTTCCTCCAGAACCTCCCTCCCAACTCAACCCAGGGTCGGTTAAGCCATCACCAATCTCCCCAGGACGTGCCCAAGGTCACAACCAGATGACCTTGATGGACAAGGTCATTTCCTTTTGGTCTATAATCCACTTTTGATACTGCATTGTAATTAAATTCAGAATCATGTGCTGGTTTTTAAAAAGATATATATCTATCACTTACATAGGTAATATGTGTGTTATCGTCCTATATTTTCAATAATGATATTCATAATTATTAGGAGATTTGTTCAAAAAGTGATTACAACAATACTCCATTAATAATGACTTTGTAAAGCATGGCTTGCAATTTTGTTATGTTTCTTTTATATTAATAATACATAACAATTGTTAATACTTTAAAAGGTTGGCTCGTATCCAAAATAAGACTTAAATCCTTCTTTCCCATAGAACTACGAACCAGTTATCACGATTTATTTAATAATTGATTCATAACTGAAAAAAAGCCAGCCATTAGTAGTCTTTACTGCTGATAAACACAGGATGCAGAAAAACACATTGTGGAAGTAATTTCTTCATTGTTACATAAAGAAAAAGAACTGATATGATTAATCTGTGTTTTAACGTCTCCTGTGACCCACTTATACGCTCATTGGGAATAATAGCATTTGAATCAAAGAAAATGTTTCGACATTTCTTGTCTTTTTTATCAAGACAACGCATCTGTTATTTCAAAGTTCCTCGGACCACCATTATCTAAAAAACTCTTCCGACCACCATTAGAAAACAGATGTTTTGTGATGGAGTGATTTTAGAGAGCATGTGGGACTTCGCAA